GTTTAGCAGCAGAATGAGGGAACTCTGTAATCCAAGATCCCAGCCAACCCATACCACGAGTGGAGGGTGGGAGTCTGTCTCCTCTGGCTCAACTCAAAGCTCAAATGAAAGAACACATCCCGGACCGGGCACGGTGGCTCCTGCCTTTAATCCCAGCACTTTGGGAGGCCGAGGCAGGTGGATCATGAGGTCAAGAGATCGAGACTATCCTGGTCAACATGGTGAAACCCCATCTCTACTAAAAATACAAAAAATTAGCTGGGCATGGTGGCGCGTGCCTGTAATCCCAGCTACTCAGGAGGCTGAGGCAGGAGAATTGCCTGAACCCAGGAGGCGGAGGTTGTGGTGAGCGGAGATCGCGCCATTGCGCTCCAGCCTGGGTAACAAGAGCAAAACTCCGTCTCAAAAAAAAAAAAGAACACGTCCCTTCCAGATGAATCACTGCTTTGCAGACAAGCAACCCACTTGAAGACTGTACTGTGACCTCAAGTCAGCCCTCTGAGGGAAGGGGAACCTGAAAGGCTTGGAAAGGGAGGTTGGAGAAAGGGGCTGAACCTGACAGTTACTGCAGCTGTGTAATGCTCCCTCTTCCTGTTGTCTCATTTGGAGTCTTTGTTTCACTTTCAGTCCACAGTGAGCTTCTTAAAGGAATTAGGCACAGTTCAGGCCCAGGATTGTAAATAACTCTTCCATGTCTCTCTCTCTCCTCCCTGGCGAGGCCTGGTGTGGAAGAAGAGAGATTCATCCCCAACATCACTCACTCCCAGCTAGGCTTAGGATTTATTCTTTCTTTTTCAGGCAAATGTTGAACATCTGGTGCAAAAGATGAAAACAACTGTGAAAAGGGGCTTGGTGTTAAGGTACCTCATCCATGGTTTGTTCCTAAGTGAAGAAGGAAAACAAGCTTTGGCTCAAACCTATAGAATGGCCCTGGTTGGGACACCCTGAGGAATCTGTAGATATAAGGGGAGGGGGCCAGGCTATGCCTTGAACCCTGGGAGGAGCTAAAAAAAGAACAAAGGCAGAAAGGGGAGGTCGGGGAGGCAACCACAGTCATGGGCCTTCGGTTTCCACGTGGCAGGAATGAAAAGTGCAACGAGAACTATACCACGGACTTCATTTTCAACCTGTACTCCGAGGAGGGAAAGGGCATCTTCGACAGCAGGAAGAATGTGCTTGGTCACATGCAGCAGGTGGGAGAGACACCCCGGTCATGCCCTTCATCAGGCAGCCATACCTGCCAGCAGCCACTGAGGCTTCCACTGGCCTTTTCCAGTCTTCCGGAGGAGGCTGGCAGTGCCATCATAGAGCATGGGCCTGCAGTCTCTTACAGTCATGGAATCAAAGATACAGTCATCTGCATCCTGGAAATAACCTGAGAGATTATATGGGCCATCCTTTTCATTTAGGGCCGGGTTTTTCACCTTGGCAGCTTTGCCTTGTGGGGCTGGATGATAATTTGTCAGGGGTAGCTGTGTATGTAGGACATTGTGCATCCCTGGTCTCTGTCCACTAGATGCCAGCAGCACCTCCCTCTCACTTCCAGTTGCAACAAAAATGTCAGCAAACATTCCCACTTTCCTACCTGCTTCCTCTTAGTTCAAAGGAAATCTGTGTGGTGTTTTATATTCTGAGGTGCTACCAAGGGCAGCCAGATGGGGCCACAGAAAAACACTTTTATGTCATCAGTGACAGTGACCAGCAAAAGCTGCTGGGCTGAAAAGGGGCAGGCAACTGACCCATTGGCCAGTAAGACTGAAATGTGATTTGGCAGCTGTGGAGCTCAGAGGGGATTGTGGGGCCAGTCATTTCTCTAGTTACTCTTCTGTCTGGCAAATGGCCAATGTGCTGGGCCAGCTTGCCTTGGATCCTGGCGCTGCGTTGGGGCACCCTTTCACAGTTTGACTTCTGGGTTCCTGTTTTGGGCTGTAAACCTGAGGCCCATCTTTCCTCTTTCTCCGTGTGTCTAGATTATCTCTGCCACTTCAGTAGAGCCCTTCCCTCTGTAAGTTTTATGTTTCTTTCTCCAGGGTGGGAGCCCAACTCCATTTGATAGGAACTTTGCCACTAAGATGGGCGCCAAGGCTATGAACTGGATGTCTGGGAAAATCAAAGAGAGTTACCGGAACGGTAGGTGGAGGGGAGAGCGAGCGCCCTCCGTAGAGGCTGGTTTCCAGTATAGAAGCTGACTGACCGTTCCTTACTGCAGGGCGGATTTTTGCCAATACTCCGGACTCTGGCTGTGTTCTGGGGATGCGTAAGAGGGCTCTGCTCTTCCAACCAGTGACTGAGCTGAAGGACCAGACGGATTTCGAGTGAGTACATGTGCTTTCTGGAGTGGTTCTCTCCCTGGTGGTTTCACACTCCACTGTCCTCAACCTGCTCACTGTCTTTAATCCTATTTCTTAAGAAGTAATAGCTGTATTCTTACCCATCTCAGATCCGATGCATATGTCCTAAATCCAACGTGTTCTGTCTAACTTCTTCCTATAAAGGCTTTGGTACAAGTTGACTGGGGGCTAAAAGACTATCATCATCTACCTCATCCCTCTGTAGGCATCGAATCCCCAAGGAGCAGTGGTGGCTGAAACTGAGGCCCATCCTCAAAATCCTGGCCAAGTACGAGATTGACCTGGACACCTCAGACCACGCCCACCTGGAGCACATCAGTCGGAAGCGGTCCGGGGAAGCTGGCGTCTAAACCTCTCTGGAGTGAGGGGAACAGATCGTGGTCAGCTCACCCCCTGATAAGTCCACATCCTGTCAGTGTTTTAGCTGTTTTTTTTCATTAGGTTTCCTTTTACTCTGTACCTTGCAGCCACGATCAGCTCTGGCCAGGAGCTGGAAGAGGGGGCACTGGATGGAAGTTCCTTTTAGGTAGAATTTAACATGACTTCTACCCCAGCTTCATCTGTCACACAAGGCTGGGCACCTCTAGTGCTACTGCTAGATGTCACTTACTCAGTTAGAATTTTCCGAAAAATAAGCTTTATTTATTTCTTTGTGATAACAAAGAGTCCTGGTTCCTCTACTACTTTTACTATGGTGACAAATTGTAACTACACTAATAAATGCCAACTGGTCACTGTGCTTCTGCTTCTCCTATTATCTTCCCAAGTGGAATGTGATACTGTCGGCCCCGTGGGTCCGACACTCGCCTGATGAAGCAGTGAAGATGCTCAGGGTATCGGGGGTGGAGGAAGGGATTAGCTCTAGTACACCACTTGCTGGCAGTGCAAAAAATTATCACTGCCAAACTCTAGAAACTCCTAAATAGTGACTGAGATGGTTTGTTGCTGCAGTCAGGGATTAAGGCAGCCATGTACTCTTTGCACAGTTCTTTAGTGGGAAGAAAAATGAACAATCAATATCAAACGCCGCAGTAGGCATTTCCTCACTGAATCCTCAAAATAGCTTCTGGAAGGCAATGGTGACAGCCTGACTTCAGAAAGGAGGACACTGGAGCTCAAGGTGATTGATTATATAATGTTTCCTTCGATATTATTCAAGTAGAACTCAGACACGGTTCTGACTTCAAACCTTATCCTCATTCCCCATGCCTCTGCGTCCTTATGCCACATCAGATCCCCAGAGCCGCAGGCCCATGAAGATGAAGTGAAGGGGAACTTCGGGCTTTCATTCAGAACGTTTTACATGCTAATTGCCATTGATTTATAGGATCTCTACTGTCTTTAATCTGAGAGCTGTTTCCTTGAGAAAATGAAGAGGGAAGGATAGCTGGGGGTAAAGCTAATCAGAGGGAATATGTCACTCTGTAAAGAGTAAAAAATTGAGAACAATGGTACTCTGGAAAAATAAAGGCATAGAGAAGACCACTTAAAAACAGAAAACCAGCCGGATGCGGTGGCTCCTGCCTGCAACCCCAAGGCTTTGGAAGGCCGAGGCAGGTGGATCATGAGGTCGGGAGATTGAGACCATCCTGGCTAACACAGTGAAACCCTACTGTACTAAAAATACAAAAAAAAAAAAAAATTAGCTGGGCATGGTGGCACGTGCCTCTAGTCCCAGCTACTTGGGAGGCTGAGGCAGGAGAATTGCTTGAACCCAGGAGGCAGAACTGCACTCCAGCCTGGGCGACAGTGACGCTGTCTCAAAACAAAAACCAGTGATGGTGCATGCTCTTTCCCCAGAGCTAAAAAGCTAAGTGAAACTGTGTTTGAACTCTTAAGTGCAGGCGAAGCAGAATTTATTAGCCACCAACCACGAGTGATTAGGAAATAACTGAGAAACAGGTAATATTTTTTCCCACATAGCCAAACTTTTTTTCCAGAATATTAAGTATCCATGATGAGAAATAGCATATAAAGCAGTTTATAAATCTAGCAATATTAGGATCACCTGGCACCTTTGAACATACTCATGCCCAGGTCTATTTTATTTATTTATTTTTTTGTAGAGATGGGGACTTCAACTCCTGGTCTAAAACGATCCTTTCACCTCAGCCTCCTAAAGTGTTAGGATTGCAGGCATGAGCCACTGCACCCAACCCTACCTACCAGGTCTGCTTTGGACCAATTAAATCAATCTTGGGGGTGGAGCCTTGCTTCAGTATTTTTAAAATGTTTCCTAGGTGGTTTCAATAACTAGGCTTGAGAACTACTGACTAAAACAGTGGGATCTCATTCCTGGCTACATTTGAAGCATTTGAAGCACTCAACCCCCAGCCCTACCCCAGAAAATTCCAAAGAATTGGTATGAGGTGAAATCTTGGCACCAGTGTTTTTAAAAAGCTTCCTTGGTCATTGTATGTGCAGCCAGGGTTGAGAACTTACAACAGTAATTCCAGCTTTGTGGTGGGAGAGGCATAAAGGAAGGGGAAGCTCTTCAGATACTCTGCCCAAGCCCTCCTGTTCACTCCAACAAGGCTCAGATCACTGCTCCTAACGGGAAAGGTTGGGATGCAACGTTCTATTGAAGACACAGGAAGTAAATGAGCTTTTTTTCTAAGGGAGGTTGGAGAAAAGTAGAAATTGCCAAACTTGCTTTTAGAACTATTTATTTATTCTTCATTTTTTAAATGGTGTCTTTTAAACACCAGCAGTAAAAGGACAAAAGCGGACATCTGTTTTCCAATTAGCTGTGTCAGTAGATTCCATTCATTGCAGTTCCCAATCAACTTAAAAAAAAAGTTTTCAAATTTGCATACACGTCATCTGAAATCAGTAACAACTTGATCTAGTTTAGCAACATGAAATGAAAGCATATTGTTCACTAAAGCAGATCTCTTTTGGGTAGATGGACCATCACAAAAGCAGCTCTTCTATGCTTTCTCCAACCCCATCCCAACTCTACCCTCCCACCAATGTGTTGTATAAATCAGTAAAAAGCAACGTTTCCGGAACAACTGAAAGAAAAGTTACTCCAAACTGTAAGCAGACTGAACTTTCCACTGGGAATGAAGACCCACGGGAAAAGGCAGCCCAGCCCGAAGGTCCTCCCTGCTGGAACCAACACCACAGGTGCAGGAGCTGCCTGCGAAGCCCATTAGAACAGACTGGCTCTCAGGGAGAGAAAGAGCTGCATTCGAAGGTCAGTTCCGAGGACTTCAGTTCTTAGGACTGCACAGAACCTGCTTTCTCTTCTATAAGGAAAGCAGCAAGATAATCTCTGAAATAGTAGTAATACAGCTATGTATGTTATTTCAGAGCTACTGTGGCTCTTGGGCACAACCATGAGAAAGACGCAAAGACTGCTGTCTCCTCTGATGAGGGGAGAGGTCCAGTCCCTTCCGAATGCCCAAGGACATGGCACACGGGGGATGTCATCCAGCCCAGTTCTGAATCTGCACCATTTGAGGTTACAGTATCCTCATCTTTGGGATGCAACTGTGTTAGCTGAAATTGTGATTTTTCTTAAACTTCTTCACAGATTTTTTTTTTGAGATAGAGTTTCGCTCTTGTTGCCCAGGCTAGAGTGCAATCTGCCTCCTGGGTTCAGGTGATTCTCCGGTCTCAGCCTCCCGAGTAGGTGGGATTACGGGTGCCTGTCACCACACCCAGCTAGTTTTTGTATTTTTAGTAGAGATGGGGTTTCATCGTATTGGTCAGGCTGGTCTGAAACTCCTGACCTCAGGTGATCTGCCCGCCTCAGCCTCCCAAAGCGCTGGGATGGATTACAGGCATGAGCCACTGCACCCGATCTAAAACGCTTTCTAGAGGGGATTCTTCTGGACCATTAACCACGTCCCCAAAGGAAAACCACACACACGTTCATTAAGTACTTTCCATCTTTGTAGAGAAATTTAGCTGCACTGCTGACTCCTTTCCTAAGGGAAGGGTTGCGGGAGACCCTCTTCTTTTGCAGAGGGCAATATAAAAAGCCAAGTAAGCAACAGAAGAAAATAAAAGTAAGGGATTTTTTTTTCTTTGGCTGTTTGGTCTGGGGAGGGAGGTGGTATGGAGGTTACGATTGTGACATGCTGCTTCAAAATCTATAAACCACACAACAGGAACACTTCTGTGACAAAGTGTACCGCAGGTACAACCTCACCCAGAGCTGCCTGCGTGCCGGTGCCAACACCTTCTCTGGGCTATTCTAAAAGTAACAGGTATTCCTTCAAGGAAGCTGGCAGTGGAAGGCCCTTCACTGCATCCGGCAGATACTGGAGTCCCAGGCTATGGCGCACAGCATAGCGAGCGAGTGTTTTTAGGGTTCCTGGAGCTGAGCACAGAACAGTCAGTTTTTCACACAGCTGCTGATCTCTGGCCACCTCCCGTGGCATGCTACCATTTTTCCTCAATTCAAAATGGCCAACAGCTCTGTGGAGAAGCTCAAAGCAAGAGTCCTCTTTCTCTGTTCCAAGTCCCCTGACTAGCAGAGCCACCAGGCGGGAGATGGGTGTCTGGCCTATGAGGTTGATGACTCTGACCTCCGCGCCATAATCCAGAAGGATGCTGACACTCTCAAGATTTCCCTTCATGGCAGCCCAGCTGAGCGGTGTATCATTGTTGTAATCCAGGGCATTGACAGAAGCCCCACTCTCTAGGAGAGCCCGCACACACTCAGCATTGTTCTTAAAGGCTGCCCAGTGAAGTGGGGTATCTCTGTTGCCATCCAAAGCATTGGGGTTTGCACCATACTCCAGCAGGACCTCCACACAAGCCTCGTCTTTCTCTGCTGCATAGTGGAGGGCTGTTCGGTTATACCCATCCAGGGCGTTCACCTGTAAAAAGGGAGGAACTATCACAGCAGACAGACTACTGCAAGGAAGACGGGACGGCAGCAAAGAAACTGGCATGGTTACCCGCTACCTTTGCTATGCAGGGCTCTGAACAGGAGGGCCAGCAAGCGACTCCCAGGGAGTCACAGTGATAAAGATGAAAATGCAGGAGCAGAAAGGAAAAGATCTGTCCTCAAACAGTCAACACTGTTATGTGCATTGACCAGCTGGGCTGTATTACTTAGGTTTCTGCTGCAACGTTCATTTCTCTATTCATTAGAGTAAGGGGTAAGGCAGGACTCAGTCTCAGTCCTTGAAACCGCTCTGAAAGACATTTACTGGAAAGCTGCTTGACAGCACAGAGTTTGGGATTCTTTTACTTCTCTTACCCTTTCTGTACCTGGGGCTAATGTCGCAACCAGACTGAAATTCACAGCCTTTGCTATGTTCTTTAACAATACAGAGAAGTGTGAAATGTTAGAATATGAGTCAGACCTTTGCAAAAATATGCTGTGGATTCACAAGAGAACCCAAATGAAAGCATGTGATGGGAAAAGCACAAATCTTCCGGTGCTGGAAAAGTAGCTGGCTTGCTGACAGCATCACCTGTAATTTTTTATTCAAATTTCTGAATAGCATATTCCCTTATTAATGCAATTTAGAAAAAACCCTGAAACATTTAAGTAAGCTCAAGCTTTTTATCTTAAGTACTACTTCTTAAGTACTCTAGGTACTTTTAGGGGTACTTTAGATTTAATCAGAGTTGAGGGATCTCTGTATTTACATCTCCTGGACAGACAGTAGGCAATGAGAAGATTAAATGGAAATAAAAACAAGCCGGACAAGGGAAGCTTCTGGAAGTGATGGCCAGCGACAGCTTAAGAAAAGAAAGAAAGGCAGAGCGTGAGTACCATAAGATGGGAGCAAGTGGGGGGCAGGGACAGAAAGGCAAAGGAATGAAACCCTTAGATCATTGTATATATTTACCGTTACATTTTCCTTAATACTGACTATGCCAACATTACCTTGAGTTAAAAGTTCAGACTGGAGGAGGGAAGAGATGGAGGAGTGATGGGGAGAAACCCTAAGCAAGCATGAAGCTCACATTTCAGTGAATCATTAATGTGGATGTGTTAGAAGCATTACCTCGGCTCCTTTTTCCAGAAGTAACTCCACGCAGTCAGCATCTGACACCATACAGGCACAGTGCAAGGGCTTCAGAGTGCCATGGGTGCAGTTCACATCTGCTCCCTGTGGGCAGCAGAAAACCGGTCAGTGTGCTCAGCTCCAGCTTGCCCAGCAGGACAGGATTCAGAACAGAGCCCCGGGGACAGAGCTCTAACTCTGACTGTTTTATAGATGCACTGCTAGTCCCCCGTTTCCTTTTCTATTAATTACACAATATAGTGCCAATGTCCAAAGCAAAGGGGCACACTGAAGATGAAGGAAAGCGGCTGTAATTCCTTATATCAAGTTACTAAGTTTCTCCACAAGGTGGTCTGCCGGATGGTCACCGGGACGTCACTGAAGGCATGATCTTACGTGTCAAAGCGCTGGAAACCTTATCATCAGGTAGGAGAGCTGGACCAACAATCCAGCTTGTTCTGAAAAACTAGGACACTAGAAAAAAACTAGAAAAAAAAATTCTATGGCCACCATGTTCTGAAAAAGTAGGAAAGTGAGTCTCTCGGACAGCGGCAAGAACCGGCAAGCCCTTTTGACCATTCAGCAAATGACCAACACTAAGTGGCACCATCTTAACACATTTTTCCTTGTTTATAAACATCTTCAAAGCAGCCTCTTAGGGTCGGCATTCTTTACCACCTAGCTTTTGCTGGTGCTTCTATTGAAAATCAAAGGAGAGGGTGGACGCGGTGGCTCACACCTATAATCCCAGCACTCTGAGAGGCTGAGGCGGGCAGGTCACCTGAGGTCAGGAGTTTGAGACCATCCTGGCCAACATGGTGAAACCCCGCCTCTACTAAAAATACAAAAATTAGACTGGCATGCTGGCTGGTGCCTGTAATCCCAGCTACTCAGGAGGCTGAAGCATGAGAATCGCTTGAACCCGGGAGGCGGAGGTTGCAGTGAGCCGAGATCGCACCATTGCACTCCAGCCTGAGCAACAAGAGCGAAACTCCGTCTCAAAAAAAAAATCAAAGGAGATGGAGATACCAGTCAGACCGAAGTCACTGAATGACTCAGCAGCAGAGCCAGAATTAGAATGTGACAAAGTTTCTACCATGGAGTCTTCCGACGCCACTTTTGCTGAGAATAAGCTAACCCTGCATGACTCTTCCTTCTCCAGTCGTGCCCAGTAACGCTGAGGCAGCTCTAGAGATCCGGGCTGTAAATGAGGAGCTAAAAAGTCTTAAAGAATGCATAGAAGTAACCATCTGGATGCATCTTCTGGTGATCAAAAAATTACTGTTAACTTCTCTTCAACAAGACAAAGGCATAGAAGAGGATGGTAAAGACCTAGGGTACCAGTCACGTAACAATTATTGCAGAGTGGTGATTAAATATCAGCTAATTAAGGTATTTTCTTAAACCATAATTACCATGCATTTTAGGGGTTGATATCCTCTACAGAACCAGAAGTGGTAGCTGCTTTTAACATAGAACGTAAGTAAAAAAAATCTCTCCATTGTAATTATTATAACTCAGGTATGAAGAAAGGGACACAAGGATTTAAAAACCACCTGTGTCCAGGCACGGTGGATCATCTGAGCTTAGGAATTCAAGACCAGCCTGGGCAATATGGTGAAACCCTGTCTTTACAAAAAATTTAAAAAATATATAGCTGGACATGGTGGCATGTGCCTGTAGTCCCAGCTACTTGAGGGGGCTGAGGTGAAAGGATCGCTTGAGCCTGGGAGGTCAAGGCTGTGATGAGCCAGGTTCGCGCCACTGCACTGCAGCCTGGACAAAAGCGAAGCCCTGGCTCAAAAAATAAACATGAAAACCACCTCTGCTTTGCCCACCTCCTCCGTCAGTAAAACAGACTTGGAGTTCAATGGATTACATATGCATTATATTTAGATATTTTACAAAGAACATGAGACTAGGGTTATTGAGAACATATTCCATGAAGAAAAATGTCAGATACACAAAGTAAAAGGGAGAAGGGAAGCAAAGCAAACATGGGGAAATGGATTTCAATGATCAAGTTAATGATTTAACAAGATGTAAAAACTCCTTGTGATCTTGAGCTGAGTGAATGAGGATTTACATGAGGGTTTACAGAGCGTTCCCACTTCACATCGCAAAGCACTCTCCTGTCAATACCAGCACACTCACCCCTCTGATGAGGTCCTCTACGTTATCATGTGGGAAGGAACGGATGGCAGCAATTGTTCGGATTAAGCGCTCCGAAAGAGAGTATTTGCTCTGAATGCTCTGCATAATATACCACATACTGGAACTCATCAAGGTTCAGGTGTTCACATGCTCCAAACTGCTGAAACAAAGAAGCTTTAGGCCTATACGGTATCACTGAGCACACCTGTCTCTAGGGTTAGGTGTTTCTCTGAGGCCTTCCCAATACTAAAAGCAGATTTCAAGGAGTGATTAACACTATTTTCATAACCATAAGGAACTGAATTATAACAGGTGCCGAGGGAGTTGGAAAAACCTGGACACAGACGTTTTACTCCAGTCCAGCACAAGATTTCCCTAAGAGGTACTAAGACCCCTGTGGAGCTCTGCGTGGTTTACAGACAAGACTGGGCAAGGAATAGGATTTTTGAAAGGCTGAAGAGGTCACAAAACATGATTTTTCTTCTTTGAATCTTTGTGGTTTTTATGATCAGCACCACCATTAAGTTATTTATAACACTGGCCTTGCAATATAGTCATGTACATATTGTTTCTCCGCCTAAACTGTAATCAACTGGAAGGCAAGGGCTTTGTCTTCTGCTTTTCCACCCATGGAAGGCCAGCCACAGAATCTCGCAAAAGGCAGGTATTAACAAATATTGGTTGGGTGACTGACTGAACAGTATAGAAGTGATTGTTACCTGTGACAAGAGAGGAAGAAGGCTATGGAGCAAATAGATCTTTTTTTTTTTTTGAGACAGTTTGGCTCTTGTTACCCAGGCTGGAGTGCAATGGCGCGATCTCAGCTCACCGCAACCTCTGCCTCCTGGGTTCAAGCAATTATCCTGCCTCAGCCTCCTGAGTAGCTGGGACTACAGGCTTGCACCACCACGCCCAGCTAAGTTTTGTATTTTTAGTAGAGACGGGGTTTCACCATGTTGACCAGGATGGTCTCGATCTCTTGACCTCGTGATCCACCCGCCTCGGCCTCCCAAAGTGCTGGGATTACAGGCGTGAGCCACTGCGCCCAGCCCAGATCTATCTTAATAATGAAAAGGCATCTGAAATATTTTCAAGTGTCTTCAGCAGAGGGAGAAAAAGGAAATATTTGAGGTAATATTCTAAAGTAAGAAAGGAAAGCAAATGTATAACTACTTTAGAGTCATCTACATGAAACTAGGAGAAAATTAAAGTCCATAGATCACCTGCGATCAGGAGTTCGAGACCAGCCTGACCAACATGGTGAAAGCCCATCTGTACTAAAACTACAAAAAAATTAGCTGGGCCTGGTGTCGTCCACCTATAATTTCAGCTGCTCAGGGGCTGAGGCAGGAGAATTGCTTGAACCGGGAGGCAGAAGTTGCAGTGAGCTGAGATTGCACCACTGCACTCCAGCCTTGGCAACAGAGTGAGACTCCATCTCAAAAATAAATGAGTTAAATTTTTTTTTCCAAGGTGGAGTCTTCCTCTATCACCCAGGCTGAAGTGCAGTGGCACGATTGGCTCACTGCAACCACCACCTCCCAGGTTCTAGCAATTCTGCTGCCTCAGTCTCCTAAGTAACTGGGATTTCAGGTGCCCACCACCACACTCAGCTAATTTTTTGTATTTTTAGTAGAGAAAGGGTTTCACCATGTTGGCCGGGCTGGTCTTGAACTCCTGACCTTGTGATCCACCCACCTCGGCCTCCCAAAGTGCTGGGATTACAGGTATGAGCCACCACTTCCTGTCTTTAACTCGTTTTAAAATCTGCATATTTTTCTAAAACTGTGAGCCACCATGCCCAGCCAAAATTTTTAATAATTAGTTATTCGTGACAACTGAGAAACAGACTTGGTGAAATACATGTTGAAACCACAATAGGACAGTTCTAGGGCAGAAGAAGAAAATAATGCTTCAGTTCAATTTAAAAGGTCTGGCTGTATAAGAGACAAGAGTTAGGGACCATTTAAAATTACAGCCAGTAAGGTAGAGCATTTCTATGAAACAACACATATCAAAAACTATAGAGAAAACATAATACACAGTATCAGCTCTCTAGATGCAAGTGCTTAGAAATCTCTGTCCTTATTATAAGCTCCTTGGAAATAATGATACTTACTTTTTCAACAGTACCTGACACATGGTAGGTTCTAAATATCTGTTGAACCAATGTAAAGTTTATTACTTGAGATCCTAAGAAATTCAAGACTTGAAGTAAATAAGCACATTATGCATACGAAATTATTTTGGTCATTTAATAATACATAATTTTTTGGCAGGGCGCGGTGGCTCATGCCTGTAATGCTGGCACTTTGGGAGGCCAAGGTGGGTGGATCACCTGAGGTCAGCAGTTTGAGACTAGCCTGACCAACATGGTAAAACCCCATCTCTACTAAAAATAAAAAAAATTAGCCGGGTGTGGTGCACCTGTAGTCCCAGCCACTTGCAAGGCTGAGGCAGGAGAATTGCTTGAACCTGGGAGGCAGTGGTTGCAGTGAGCAGAGATCTTGCCACTGCACTCAGTTGAGGCAAAAGAGAAAGACTCCATCTCAAAATAGTAACATATCATTTTTTGCATCTTTTTTTTAGAGTCTCACTCTGTCACGCAGTCTGGGGTGCAGTGGTGCAATCTTGGCTCACTGCAACCTCCACCTACCTGGCTCAAGTGATTCTCATGATTCAGCCTCCTGAGTAGCTGGGATTTACAGGTGTGCACCACCACGCCTGGCTAATTTTCGCATTTTTAGTAGAGACAGGGTTTCACCACGTTGGCCAGGCTGGTCTCAGACTCCTGACTTCAGGTGATCACCCGCCTCGGCTTCCCAAAGTGCTGGGATTACAGATGTGAGCCACCGCGCCTGGCCAATTTATTTTTGCTTTTTGTGATGGAGTATCCCTTTATGTATTATATACTATAAATTCGGATAGTTTCTATTTTGTGAATCAGCAGCCATTTATATTAGATGTAAATTCTATTAATCAATAGAATACAAGTTAAAAATATACACATCGATAATTCAAATTGTGTACTTTTCTTCCCTGTTATGCATGAATAAGCTCACAAACTTGTTTATATGTCTATGACATTTTCTAGATAGTTTAGATTTGGCATATAATTTTTTTGTTTCGAGGAAAAAGGAATAAAAAAGACAAAGGTGCATTAGAGTTGGAATTCCAAGAATGGGAGCGGAGACACAGCATCTAAAGCAGTGGGCTTGGACCAAAGTGGTTGTGTTGCCTATAATCCCAGCACTTTGGGAGGCCAAGGCAGGAGGAGCTCTTGAACCTGTAAGTTCAGAACCAGCCTGGGCAACATGGTGAGGCGACGCCCACACCTAACCGTCTGTACAAAAAAAAAAATCAAAAATTAAAATAAATAAAGTGGTTTCATTAACCATTTCTGGGCCACGATAATCTGATGTAACTAAACACTGCGGTCTGATTTGGGGGCGCTCTTGGATTCCGGGCTAAGAACTCCTAAGAGTATGGTCAGTGGTCTGCTGCTGCCTGAAAGCTTCCGGTAAAGGAGTGAAACTTCAGGGCAAATTAACCGCATTCACTGTCAGGAACGGTCGGAAATCTAAACTCGATATCACCAGAGAGCAGCCGGTGTACGGTTTGGCCCCCCCTTGTCAGCTCTGCTAGAGCTGAAAGCCCCGTCTCCCTCGTTTTCCTTTGCTACGGGATCCAGAGAAAACACCAAAGGGCATTTATTGCGAAGCTTAAAAAAAAAAAAAAAAAAAGACTCAGCAACTGTAATGCGAGCGAGGCCTCGGCCTCCCCGCCCCCTCCCGCCCCGGGAGAACTGGCTGAGCCTGCAGCGCCCCTAATCCCACCGCACCTGCTGCGGAGGGCTCGCGGCAGCTGTCTCGCTGAGGTTAGGGGCGCGGGCACGAATGCGAGGACGTGCGGTTTCAACGCACAGGCTCCCAACAGATCGCAGCACTCCGGCAGGTCTGCTGCGGAAACAGAATCACGCAATTTGTGTTGGGGGGGCCTCAAAAGGGGAACGGTTCCCTCCTGGATCTGCCTCCTAAGGCCCGGAACGAAGGCTCAGCCTCGAGAGCTAGAGCGCTTCGACCTGGGGGTGGAGGAGCGTTACTGGGCGTGATACCCGGGCTGGGAAACCGGGCTGTAGACCTTCCCGCACCAAGAACCCCACTCACCGAATTGCAAGGCTGAGCGGGGTGTGGGAAGCCGCTGTCAAGGCGTGACCCGGAAGCAGAACCCCTCGGCGGCAAGCCCTGGGACGAGAAGACCAGCTAAGATAGGCGCCTGCGCACTGGCGAGCGTTCGTCAGGGGGGCGCGCCTGCGCAGACTCGTGCAGCAGCTTGCGTCCTCCCGAGGCCTAGTTAAGGGCACACCGGCTCCTTTGGCGCAGAGGTTTTGAGCGCAGGCGCAATGCAACGTTCTCGGTCCTGGCGGCGGGGCTCGGGTCTTGGTCCTGCAGTGGCGGAAAATGATAAGGAACTATGGCTGTTGAGCCGATTCCATATGGTTGCACCTGGGTGGACCAGGCCAGCAGTGGGTCCATCTACAATCGCTCAATTGCTTAGGAGACTAAACTCTTAATAAGAAGTGTCTTTGGCAAATAAAAACACTTCCGGCATTATTGACATGGTGGAATAAATCTACGCTCCCCGGAACCCTTCTGTCCCTTGTCCATCCTCCTTCAAGTAAACCATATCAAAGACAAATTCAACCACCCAAGAAGTCTGGCATTCCAGATGGGGCGGAATAAAGCGCCTTTATTTATAACTATTATTAGGGTTCGAGCAAAGAAACGATGACATGTCTGAGTGACCTTCTGTGCAAAGCACGAGCTCCCGGTGCTGGTGCATGGGAGGAGTGAAGCCGCCCATTCAGGCGGCCAGGAGTGTGGTCTTCCCGGCAGCCTCGCACCTACTCGCCAAAGCTTGTACCAAATCTAACAATTAGAGATTCGGCCGGGCGCGGCGGCTCACGCCAGTAATCCCAGCACTTTGGGAGGCCGAGGCGGCCGGATCACCCCTGACACTGGGAGTTCGAGACCAGCCTGATCAATGTGGAGAAACCCCGAGAAAACAAAAAACAAAACAAAATTAGCCGGGCATGGTGGCGCATGCCCTGTAATCCCAGCTACTCGGGAGGCTGAGGCAGCAGAATCGCTTAAACTCGGGAGGCAGAGGTTACAGTGAGCTGTGACTGCGCCATTGCATTACAGCCTGGGCGACAAGAGCGAAACTCCATCTCAAAAAAGACAAAAAAAAAAAAAAAAAAAAAAAGAGAGAGAAATGTAAGCAGGCCCAGACAGTTTGTGTCCTTCAGGGAAAAGATGGTGAACTGAAACCTCCTGACCTTTTGCCATGTAGCAATATGCCCTCCGCATCCTGCCACTGCACCATGGGGAAATTGTCCGTTTTTTCAAAAGAAGCTGAAATCCAGATTTTTTAAAACAGTGAATTCTTCCAAGTTGCAAATGTTGGCAATTATTTTTTATGTTTGAGATGTAGTTTTGCTCTTGTCACCCAGGCTGGAGTGCGATGGCATGATCTCAGCGTGATCTCAGCTCGCTGCAACTTTGGCCTTCCAGGTTCAAGCACTTCTCCTGCCTCGGCCTCCTGAGTAGCTGGGACTACAGGCATCTGCCACCACACCTGGCTATTTTATTTTTTTATTTTTAGTAGAGAAGGGGTTTCACCATGTTGGCCAGGCTGGTCTCAAACTGACCTCAGGTGATCCTGTCTCCTCAGACTTCCAAAGTGCTGGGCTTACAGGCATAAGTCACCATGCTGGGCCACATCTTTCAAATGTCCTGGTTGGAAAATGCTGAAATAGATAAATTCTGGGAAACCACCAGCATCTTAAATGTAAGAATGAGTGAAGTCTCCCGGGGAGTGATAAAATAGGCTCTCAATACAGGTTATTTTATTTATTTATTGAAAAACCAAATAGACTTTTATTTTACAAGGCGTGCAACTCAGTATATGCAGAAAAGTACTCTATGTCACACGCATGATCAATATCTTTTCATTTCCATGTGGCATGGCATTGAAAACCTAGCACATCACTGAGCAAAAAAAAATCACATAAAAGACCCCTAGAGAAATAAAACTAACTTATTTTCCCCAAACAATAGATTTCATCTTCATTAGTCAAATCAGCACCTGCTGATAGGGCAGTAGAGCAAACCTGACAGTGATATTCACTAACAAGGAAGACAAAACTTATGCTTTCAGGTATGAAGATCAACTCTGAATGGCAGAGAGCCTATTCTCGTTGTTATCGGCCACCAAGAACTCAGAGCAAAGAACTCAAGAAGAGAGAAGCCAAAGCACTATGAAAATTATTCTTTTCTGTGAAATTCAGTCCTACAGCCGGCATGAGCAAGGGTCCAAAACACGGACGAGCTGACAGAGCTGCTGGGAGAGCCCATTCATCATGGGAGCACTGGCTCTGCCTCCCTATGCTGTGCCCTTCCATGGGCTTCCTCCACTCTTCACTGACTTCGTTTTGACTTGGTCCTCTGGTCTCACCACAGCTCCTTGAGAGACTTTGAGTTGTAATCTTACAGTTCCAAGAATCTATTTTGACTGAACCCAAGAGTAACATGCTCATTCAAAATAGAAATGTTCTCACGGTAAATGATACAAAGGCCATTTCATATATATATATATATATATATATATATATATATATATTTTTTTTTCCCACGGAAGACAAAGCTTCCTTCCTCTTTTTTTTTTTCTTCGTTTTTTTGAGATGGAGTCTCACTCTGTCACCCAGGCTGGACTGTAGTGGCACAATCTCAGCTCACTGCAACCTCCACCTCCCAAGCGATTCTCCTGCCTCGGCCTCCCGATTAGCTGGAATTACAGATAGGTACCACCATGCCTGGCTAATTTGTACCTTTAGTAGAGACAGGGTTTCACCATGTTGGCCAGGCTGGTCTCAAACTCCTGACTTCGGGTGATCCACCCACCTCGGCCTCCCAAAGTGCTGGCATTACAGGTGAGAGCCTCCGCGCCTGGATGCTTCCTTCATCTTTAACAAGAGAATATTGCACCCAGCATCACTGCTTTGGCTGGCTCTTTTTTCCTGTGTGCCCTGATGTGTGCAGCATTTGAACCAGCTACAATTTCTGCATTCTTCCTGGTCTGGACAAAATAATCTGGAAACTCACCACGTGGCGCAGTCAAAGACTTTATTATTGTGTGATTCACTGACGTAGTCTTCATCTTCATCTTTGGGGCTAGAGCTGCGACATACTGTGTATGCTCTGGCCACGTGATTGATCTCCTCTTTTGTGGTAACCAATTTGGGAGAAAATTCTTTCGCATAATTTACAATGGCCTTTTTTGTGTCCCTTTCTGGGTCAGTGGTGATGAAAAGCAGAGTTAAATTTGGCAGAGTTGAAATACTGTCACATCCACGACGTGAATCATTTTTTCTAGTTCTTCTGGACAGCTGTCAGGGTGACGACTGAAACCAGAATAAATCAGCAGCCACCGACCCAGGGAGTCCTTGTCAGTTTTAGGCTCTCCAAATGTGTTGTGAGGGAAAATGGCCCCCCAGTGAAGGCTTGTTGATGCTTCACTATCATTTCTTCTCTAGCTCTCTGTCTTTTCTATCTTTTTGTTTTTGTTTTATTTTTGACACAGAGTTTCACTCTTGTTACCCAGGCTGGAGTGCAATAGCGTGATCTCGGCTCACCGCAACCTCCACCTCCTGGGTTCAGGCAATTCTCCCGCCTCAGCCTCCTGAGTAGCTGGGATTACAGGCATGCGCCACCACGCCCAGCTAATTTTTTGTATTTTTAGTAGAGACGGGGTTTCACCATGTTGACCAGGATGGTCTCGATCTCTTGACCTCGTGATCCACCCGCCTCGGCCTCCCAAAGTGCTGGGATTACAGGCGTGAGCCACCGCGCCCGGCCTATCTTTTCTATCTTGAAGTACTTCACTCCAACCAGTAAACCTCCTCCAATTGCAAATGTATATGATAAAGATTTCCAGGAAATAGGCCTGGGATTCAAGGGGCATGTGCAGTCTCTGCAGCCCTTCTGCAGGCCCTGACCACCTCAAGGGTGCTTGGTGGCCTCGCCGCCTGAGAGGCCAGATTGCCAGGCAGCCACCAGTGAGCCCCCAGTCCCGCCACACTTCCTCTTGCATGCAGAATTGCCTTGGCAAGACTATCACAAAATTGCCCTGGCAGACTCTACTCGGTTGGGCCCCAAGGCTCATGTCAGCCAGGCAAGAGACAGTTGGCCCACACTGGTCACTTTGAAGTGTCTCTGAGAAGTCAGTGCACAGCAAAAGTTGGTTTCAGTTACATTCCATAATCCTTTCATCAGACATTTACTGAGCACCTAGTTTCTTCCAGGCTTTGTGCTCAAGTCTCCAGGGAAGACAGAAATGGAGAGAGGCAGTCTCTCATTATCAAGGGTTGGGAAACAGATATGAGCATCCTCAATTGCAATTAAAGATGATTAACTCGACAACATTGCTGTATCTAAAGTCAGTGTTGACAAACAGTTCTACCTCATGGCGGGATCGAGAGAGTGAGGGAAGGAGGGGTCTGCGAAGAGGCTTCTTGGGGAGAAATCTGTATGTGCTGAGTCCCCACTCTCCTCCTACCCACATGGAGAAGAAGCGCTGATGTTGCCTAAAGAGCGGCTTCTGTGGGACCAGAGAGCTTGAAGATTGTTCCCCATCGTTGTAAGACAAGGACCTGCACCAAAGCTTACTTATAAAAGAGGGTTGTAGCCACGAAGTGGAGGTGGCCGCATTGCGATCTGCCTGGAGACCCAGATTCAGCAGGGATAATGAATGTAGAAATGCTTCCCTGGACCGGATGTGGCCACATGGAAAACAGCCAACGCGGGCTCCCCTTTGGTCTATCCAAAGGGGCTGTCCAGAGGCATGGGGGGATACAGTGGCCAGAAGCCAGAAATGAACACGGGAATCCTACAATCGACAGAACTCAGGTGAGAGAGATCTCTGATGATGGGAATCTGCAAAGAATCTTTAAAAGCACTTTAAGGAAAAGAGTCAGCTTTAACCATCTGCAAGACCCGGGTAGTGCAGACCTACCCTGCCAAGAAAGAAAGAACTGCCCTATCCCCTCAGCTCTCCTGCCTCCTCCCACTTTTACACAAGCAGATTCAACAGCAGTTAGCTAGCGGGGTAGGAAGAAAGTTGAGGAGAAAGCTCTAGGCAGCCACTAGACATATGTCTTACATGGAGGAGGAGGAAGAGCAGTGTTCGATTAGTACCTTAGAATGAAGGCTGAAGTATTTGATTACCGTTTTGAACTGGAAATATTCTAACTACTAACTCGAGACTATTTGGTTTAAAGTGACTGTTAACTTAAAGGATTGCCAGTTATCAAAGAGTGAGCCAAAAAGTCAGGAAATCCCCCCAATTTTCTATTCAGAAGCAGGAGAACATTATTATCTTCCCATAAAAAATGCTTTTGTTTCTTTGTTTGTTTGAGAAGGAGTCTCGCTCTGTTGCCCAGGCTGGAGTGCAGTGGTGCCATCTTGGCTTACTGCAACCTCTGCCTCTCAGGTTCAAGCAATTCTTGAGCCTCTGCCTCCCAAGTAGCTGGGATTACAGGTGCCCGCCACCATGCCCAGCTAATTTTTTCTATTTTTAGTAGAGCCATGTTGGCCAGGCTGGTCTTGAACTCCTGA